GCAGCACCCTGAGCTGTGAGATAGCAAATTCTGAGGCAGAAGCTACATATTTTTTTTTTTTTGAGACAGAGTCTTACTCTGTTGCCCAGGTTGGAGTGCAGTGGCACAATCTCGTCTCACTGCAACCTTCATCTCCTAGGTTCAAGTGATTCTCCTGCCTCAGTCTCCCGAGTAGTTGGGACTACAGGCACGCACCACCACGCCCGGCAATTTTTGTTGGTTTGTTTTGAGACAGAGTCTCACTCTGTTGCCCAGGCTGGAGTGCAGTGGCATGATCTCAGTTCACTGCAACCTCTGCCTCCTGAGTTCAAGCGATTCTCCTGCCTCAGCCTCCTGAGTAGCTGGGATTACAGGTGGCCCCCACCACGCCTGGCTAATTTTTGTATTTTAGTAGAGACAGGGTTACACTATGTAGGACAAGCTGGTCTTGAACTCCTGACCTCAAATGATCCGCCCACTTCAGCCTCCCAAAATGCTGGGATTATAGGTGTGCGCCACCTCGCCTGGCCAATTTTTGTATTTTTAGTAGAGACAGGGTTTCACCATGGTGGCCAGGCTGGTCTCAAATTCCTGACCTCAGGTGATCCACCCACCTCGGCCTCCCAAAGTACTGGGATTACAGGCGTGCGTGGGATTACTGTGCCTGGCCTTAATTTTGTTTTTGAGACAGAGTCTTACTCTGTCACCCAGACTGGAGTGCAGTGGCACAATCTCGGCTCACTACAACTTCTGCCTTATGGGTTCAAGTGATTCTTGTGCCTCTGCCTCCCCAGTAGCTGGGATTATAGGCACCTGCTATTACCCTAGGCTAACTTTTGTATTTTTAGTATAGACAGGGTTTCCCCACATTGGCCGGGCAGGACTGGAACTCCTGGGCTCAAGCGATCCACCCTCCTCGGCCACTCAGAGTGCTGGGATTATAGGTGTGGGCCACCCCACCCAGCCAGGAAGCCCCACGTTTTTTGTTTGTTTTTTGTTTTGTTTTCTTTTGAGATCAAGTCTCTCTCTGTCGGCCAGGCTGGAGTTCAGTGGTGTGATCTCGGCTCACTGCAAGCTCCGCCTCCCGGGTTCATGCCATTCTCCTGCCTCAGCCTCCCAAGTAGCTGGGACTACAGGCGCCCGCCACCATGCCTGGCTAATTTTTTTGTATTTTTTAGTAGAGACGGGGTTTCACCATGTTAGCCAGGATGGTCTCGATCTCCTGACCTCGTGATCCACCTGCCTCGGCCTCCCAAAGTGCTGGGATTACAGGCGTGAGCCACCGCGCCCGGCCAGGAAGCCGCATGTTTTAAGGAACCCTCTGGGTAACTCTCATGTTCCCCCAAGCTGCTGAACCCTGTGCTGGAGTTTCCAGAAGGAAGCGATAAGGATGGGGCAGCGTATGTGCAACAGAGCGTCCCGCTGGTGGGGGTCACGGGAAGCCATGCCCTGGGATAGAGAGAGTCGTCCGTAGAGTGGGGTGAACATTCCCTGGCCCCTCTGTCTCATCACTCCTCTTCTCTGTTCCCCCCACCTCCTGACCACAGTGGATACTGAGGCTGTGTGGCTGCTTCAAGGCTGGCTCTTCCAGCACCAGCCCCAGTTCTGGGGGCCCGCCCAGATCGGGGCTGTGCTGGGGGCTGTGCCTCGTGGCCGCCTCCTGGTTCTGGACCTGTTTGCTGAGAGCCAGCCTGTGTACACCCGCACCGCCTCCTTCCAGGGCCAGCCCTTCATCTGGTGCATGCTGCACAACTTTGGGGGAAACCATGGTCTGTTTGGAGCCCTGGAGGCCGTGAACGGAGGCCCAGAAGCTGCCCGCCTCTTCCCCAACTCCACCATGGTAGGCACGGGCATGGCCCCCGAGGGCATCAGCCAGAACGAAGTGGTCTATTCCCTCATGGCTGAGCTGGGCTGGCGAAAGGACCCAGTGCCAGATTTGGCGGCCTGGGTGACCAACTTTGCTGCCCGGCGGTATGGGGTCTCCCACCCGGATGCAGGGGCAGCGTGGAGACTACTGCTCCAGAGTGTGTACAACTGCTCCGGGGAGGCCTGCAGGGGCCACAATCGCAGCCCGCTGGTCAGGCGGCCATCCCTACAGATGAATACCAGTGTCTGGTACAACCGATCCAGTGTGTTTGAGGCCTGGCGGCTGCTGCTCACATCTGCTCCCTCCCTGGCCGCCAGCCCTGCCTTCCGCTATGACCTGCTGGACCTCACTCGGCAGGCGGTGCAGGAGCTGGTCAGCTTGTACTATGAGGAGGCAAGGAGTGCCTACCTGAGCAAGGAGCTGACTTCCCTGTTGAGGGCTGGAGGCATCCTGGCCTATGAGCTGCTGCCAGCGCTGGACGAGCTGCTGGCAAGTGACAGCCGCTTCTTGCTGGGCAGCTGGCTGGAGCAGGCCCGAGCAGCGGCAGTCAGTGAGGCCGAGGCCGATTTCTATGAGCAGAACAGCCGCTACCAGCTGACCCTGTGGGGGCCAGAAGGCAACATCCTGGACTACGCCAACAAGCAGCTGGCGGGGCTGGTGGCCAACTACTACACCCCTCGCTGGCGGCTCTTCCTGGAGGCGCTGGCTGACAGTGTGGCCCAGGGCATCCCTTTCCAACAGCACCAGTTTGACAAAAATGTCTTCCAACTGGAGCAGGCCTTCGTCCTCAGCAAGCAGAGGTACCCCAGCCAGCCACAAGGAGACACTGTGGACCTGGCCAAGAAGCTCTTCCTCAAATATTACCCCCGCTGGGTGGCTGGCTCTTGGTGATAGATTCGCCACCCCTCGGCCTTGTTTTCCACTAACCAAGCCGGGGCAGGTTCCAGGGCCTGGAGCTGGACAAGCATCACAGGATAACCCAGGCCTGGGAGGAGGCCCCATGGCCTGCTGGTGGGGTGTGGCCTGGGGCAACTGGAGGGAAATGAACTGCCCTCCACCACCACCCAAAGTGTGGGATTAAAGTACTGTTTTCTTTCCAGTTAAACTGATGAGTCCCCTGGGTCTGCCAGAATGAGAAGGTCACTGCTGCCATGATTGGGAGGACTCAGGGCTATAGCGTGGCCCTGGGCTGGGACCTGTTCTCCCATCCCTTGCCTCACATCCCTGTTTTTGTTTGTTTTTTTGTTTTGTTTTGTTTTAGATGGAGTCTTGCTCTTTGCCCAGGCTGGAGTACAATGGCACAATCTTTGCTCACTGCAAACTCTACCTCCTGGTTTCAAGCGATTCTTTTGTGTCTTACAGGCTTACACCACCACTCCCGGCTAATTTTTATATTTTTAGTAGAGACGGGGTTTTACCATGTTGGCCAGGCTAGTCTTGATCTCCTGACCTCAAGTGATCCACCTGCCTTCCTGCCTTGGCCTCCCTAAGTACTGGGATTAGAGGAGTGAGCCATAGTGCTGGATCATATCCCTGTTTTTAATACTAACCCCTCTCCTTTGAAAGGAGAATGCCTCCTGTTGAAGGAAAACCTCTTTTTTTTTTTTTTTTAGAGACAGTCTCTCTCTGATGCCCAGGCTGAAGTGCAGTGTTGCCATCTTGGCTCAGTGCAGCCTCCGCCGCCTGGGTTCAAACAATTCTTCTGCCTCAGCCTCCCGAGTAGCTGGGACTACAGACGCGTGCCACCACGCCGGGCTAATTTTTGTATTTTTAGTAGAGACAGGGTTTCACCATATCGGCCAAGCAGGTCTCGAACTCCTGACCTCATCATCAGCCCGCCTCAGCCTCTTAAAAAGAGCTGGGATTACAGGCATGAGCCACTGCTCCTGGCCAGGAAAACCTTTTTTCAAACAGTGTTTTCCTTAGCTGTCATGCCACAACAACAGTCAGCAACACAGGAGACTTCTGTCACCAAATATTTGGAGAATTTTTCCCACGCGGCAAGCAGTGAAGAGCAGCTGGGTGTCCTCAAGTTCAGTTCCAATGTAATCTACCAGAGACGGCGTCAGATACCACAGCGTGAGCGCACAGATTCATGAGACTACACCCTCCTTCCCACAGGTCACAAGTCCTGGTCCCGAGAACTTCTGACTGACTGGCTTCAAGTTGGAGTTCCTGAGACCCCCTTCCCCTCTATGGAGTCAACTCATTTGCTCTAGTGACCCAAACACAGGGAAACCCTTATTTACTGCTTTATTACAAGGAAAATTTTTTTCTCTCTTCATTTTTTTTTGAGACAGGGTCTTAGTCTGTCACCCAGAGTGAGTACAGTGGCAGGGTCTGGCTCTGTCACCCAGGCTGGAGTGCAGTGGCACAATCTTGGCTCACTACAGCCTTGATCCCCCACCAAGTAAGCTGGGACTCCAGGCACACACCACCACACCCAGCTAATTTTTAAATATTTTTTGTAGAGACTGGGTCTCACTCTTGCCCTGGCTGGTCTTGAACTCCTAGGCTCCAGCAATCCCCCTGCCTCAGTTTCCCAAAGTGCTGGGATTACAGGCATGAGCCACTGTGCCCAGCCTCGAAGGATATTTTAAAGGTTAGAAATAAATAGCCCGATGAAGAGATACAGACAGGCTGGGCGCGGTGGCTCAAGCCTGTAATTCCAGCACTTTGGGAGGCCAAGATGGGCGGATCACGAGGTTAGGAGATTGAGACCATCCTGGCTAACATGGTGAAACCCCGTCTCTACTAAAAAATACAAAAACCTGGCTGGGCACGGTGGCTCAAGCCTGTAATCCCAGCACTTTGGGAGGCCGAGACGGGTGGATCACGAGGTCAGAGGATCAAGACCAGCCTGGCTAACACGGTGAAACCCTGTCTCTACTAAAAAAAATACAAAAAATAAAACTAGCCAGGAGAGGTGGCGGGCGCCTGTAGTCCCAGCTACTCGGGAGGCTGAGGCAGGAGAATGTCGTAAACCCGGGAGGCGGAGCTTGCAGTGAGCTGAGATCCGGCCACTGCACTCCAGCATGGGCGACAGAGCGAGACTCTGTCTCAAAAAAAAAAACCAAAAAAACCCCAAAAAACTAGCAGGGCGAGTAGTCCCAGCTACTTGGGAGGCTGAGGCAGGAGAATGGCGTAAACCCGGGGGGCGGAGCTTGCAGTGGGCTGAGATCCGACCACTGCACTCCAGCCCGGGCAACAGAGTGAGACTCCGTCTCAAAAAAAAAAAAAAAAAAAAAAAGATACAGACAGGGTGGTCTGGAAGGGTCCAGAGCAGGAGCTTCTATCTCTGTAGAGTTTCGGTTACGTCACCCTCTGGGCACATGGATGAGTTCTTCACCTTCTGTCAGCCTCCACGTGTTGAGCTCTCAGAAGCTCCCCGAACCCTGTCCTTTGGGCCTTTTATGGAGAACTCCATTGGCTGTCCATGATTGAAGCATGGACAACTGTGATAATGTGACTGGGCAAAAAGGGTCTGATCTAAGCCTAGCAAGGCTGGTCCAGATTCTTTGGGCCTTTGTGCAGCATTCCTTTCTCCAGGGTATGGGGCAAGGACCCACTCTGGAATGAGGATCCTACAACCACAATCAGATTAGAGTCCTGCCTTGGGCAGCTGAAAAGAGGACAGGAGAAGGTCAGAGAGAGGAGAGGCTGTTTTTTGAGGCCTGAGGTGCCCCAACATTACAATGAAAGACTAACCATGGTCATGTGAGTTATGAGCTAGGAACTGTGGACAAAACCAACACATATACAATCATCTCCCACCTCCCAGCGCCTTCACTTTCACAGCCTCTGCAGCAAACTGTGGTCACTGTAATTGCTCCGGTGGCACAGAGGCATACCCAGGGGAATCTGCCCCGGGGGCTACTCTGTGCCCACATGGGAACCAACACCTCCCCTCCCTCTGACCAGCAACCAGGACAGTTTGGTGTTCCAAGCAGTGGGCTCATGTCTGTTTTGGCTCAGAACAGGGTGGGGAGATCGGGCCAGGGACCCGCAGGAGGGCTTATCCTTGAGATTGCGTGGGAGACACAACAAGGGGTGGGGGCCTGCGGGCGGGGTGGGGCGAAGCAGGTGATATCCAGCCCAGAGCCCCAGCCTCTCCCCACAGTCTCACCATGGCCCGCACCGTGGTGCTCATCACCGGCTGCTCCTCGGGCATCGGCCTGCACTTGGCGGTACGCCTGGCTTCAGACCCATCCCAGAGCTTCAAAGGTATAGATAGGTAGGGACAGAGAGGGAGAGAAGGGAGGAGCCCCTGGAGGCCAGAAGTCAAGTCAGATCTCCCTTCTCTCCCAAAACCTCCAGTATATGCCACATTGAGGGACCTGAAAACACAGGGTCGGCTGTGGGAGGCGGCCCGGGCCCGGGGATGCCCTCTGGGATCCCTAGAGACGTTGCAGCTGGACGTAAGGGACTCAAAATCCGTGGCCGCTGCCCGGGAACGCGTGACTGAGGGCCGTGTGGACGTGCTGGGTGAGCCTCCCAGAAACACGTGGGCTCCTAGGAGCTTTCTCCACCCTGCCTTCAACCCAACATGTCCCGAGGCCCAGGGAGCACGAGGGGACAGGCTGTGCTGAGGGTGATGCTGAGGCAGGCTGGTCGGGCCTCTGTCACTGCAGTGTGTAACGCAGGCCTGGGCCTACTGGGGCCGCTGGAGGCGGTGGGGGAGGACGCCGTGGCCTCTGTGCTGGACGTGAACGTGGTGGGGACGGTGCGGGTGCTGCAGGCCTTCCTGCCAGACATGAAGCGGCGCGGTTCGGGACGCGTGTTGGTGACCGGGAGCGTGGGAGGATTGATGGGTGAGTGGTAGGTACTGGCCTCCGCAGCTCCAGATTCTTTGTGTGGGGAGCTGAGCCTTGAAAGCAGGCTCCGGTGGGAGGGTGGGGGGTGTGTAGGGGGAGGGGTACAGTCAGCTTGGAGGGGCACCGCCTTCCCGGGTATGACCCCCTGGCCCCTGGGCCTCAGGAACCTCGTCTCCCCACCTAAGGGCTACCCTTCAATGACGTTTACTGCGCCAGCAAGTTCGCGCTCGAAGGCTTATGCGAGAGTCTGGCAGTTCTGCTGCTGCCCTTTGGGGTCCAGTGAGTCAACACTTCCGTCTCCCCAACCCTCTGAACTCTGACCTAGAGACCCCCGAGCACCCCGTCATGCGGGAGCTGCTCTGGGGCGATCTCCCTGGCCCTCCCTGCCCGGCTCACTTTTGCTGTGTGCCAGGTCTCCCGCGTAGCCTCAGATGGATTTGGGAGGGCTGCTCCAGCAGGAACCCGCGTTTCAAATGTTCTGGTTATCACCAGCGCCCTTTCTGCCTCACGGCGCGGCGCAGCGCAGCGGTGCGGGGCCCAGGACGTGGTCGGGGCTGGGGCTGGGGTTGGGGCTGGGACTGGTGCCTGGCTCGCGTCCGCCCCCGCCCACTCGTTGCTCTCCGGCCGGCAGCTTGAGCCTGATCGAGTGCGGCCCAGTGCACACCGCCTTCATGGAGAAGGTGTCGGGCAGCCCAGACGAGGTGCTGGACCGCACGGACATCCACACCTTCCACCGCTTCTACCAATACCTCGCCCACAGCAAGCAGGTCTTTCGCGAGGCGGCGCAGAACCCTGAGGAGGTGGCGGAGGTGAGCGCGGGGCTGGACTCCGGGAGCGGGAGCGGTGCGTCCTCCAGCGCGCATTGGTGGCCAGAGCTCTCCTCCCGCTGCCGCAGGTCTTCCTCACCGCTTTACGCGCCCCGAAGCCGACCCTGCGCTACTTCACCACCGAGCGCTTCTTGCCCCTGCTGCGGATGCGCCTGGACGACCCCAGCGGCTCCAACTACGTGGCCGCCATGCACCGGCACGTGTTCGGCGACGATCCGGCAGAGGCCGAGGCTGGGGCCGGGCCTGGGGCCGGGGCCGGGCCCAGTGAGGTGGGGGACCCTGAGCTCGGCGATCCTCCAGCCGCCCCGCAGTAAAGGCTTCCTCAGCCCTTCTTTGTCCTCTGGGTCTGTGTGGTCCCTGGGGACGGGGCGGCGGTGGTGGTGGCGGCGGCTGTGAGTGGATAACTAAGATAGATCGCGTTAGCCAGTTTTACCAGCGCAGCTAGGCGCGATGGCTGTCTCCTGTAATGCCAGCGCTTTGGGAGACGGAGACAGGAGGATTGCTCAAGCCCTGGAGTTGGAGACCAGCCAGAGCAACGTAGTGAGATCCCCATCTCTACAAAAATAAAAAACTTAAAAATCAGCACAGTGGCACCATTCCTTGAGCCCAGGAGTTGGAGGGTGCAGTGAGCATGATGGGGCCACTGCACTCCAGCCTGGGCGACAGAGCAAGACCCGTCAATTAATCAAATCAATCAACCAACCAACCGAACAACTCAGAAACCGAAGTCCAGAAAGAAGCAGCCCAGGATCACGCCTCAAGTCCACGTTAAAGCCCAGACACAGTCTCTGGATACCCAATGGGCATCTGCAGGAGGAGTTAGGTGGCACTTGGGTTGGAGTAGAGTCAGGTTATGACCTGGACCCCATTGGCCATGAGACCTCAGGCAAGTTCCTTACTTTCTCTGAGTCTTTCTTTTCTTTCTTTTTTTTTCCTGAGACAGAGTTTTTCTCTTGTTGCCCAGGCTGGAGTGCAATGGGGGTGATTTCGGCTCACCACAATCTCCGCTTCCCGGGTTCAAGTGAGTCTCCTGCCTCAGCTGGGATTATAGGCATGCACCACCATGCCCGGCTAATTTTGTATTTTCAGTGGAGATGCGGTTTCTCCATGTTGGTCAGGCTGGTCTCAAACTCTTGACCTTACGTGATCCACCCGCCTCAGCCTCTCAAAGTGCTGGGCATACAGGCATGAGCCACCCCATCCGGCCCTCTGAGTCTTTCTCATCTGTAAAATGGGTATAATAATGCCTATCTAATGGGTTTTAGTAATGGTGGAGATAATGCCTGAAAGTGCTGGTATAGAGGTCTTAATAGCCAACAAGGACTGTTATTAGAACGAATAGTAATATGACTACTGTCACATTTTGCAAATGTGTAAAGAAGAAAGAGGGTTAAATGAATCAAAGGGAGACAGCCCCACTCACCCTGCTCTGCCCCAGAAGACTGAGAGATCCCCACCATCTGGGAAGCTGCCTCACCAGGAGTTACAGCTGGGGCTACAGCACTGGCTACTTTGCTACAATGGCCTGTCGTTCCTGAGCCCAGTGGAGAGTCCCGGTGGGGGCAGGAGTCATTGATAGGGGCAGTAGAGTTGTAGAGAAACTCTCTGAACTTCTGTGGAGGTCTGGTGCGGGGGAGGAGTGAACAGATAAGAGGCTAGGTGAGGATGCAGCACAGGAAGGGGGCAGGAGTGTCCCAGGAGGGGGCGGTACTGAGGGAGGGATGCAGCTGGGTCTGAGAGGGAGGGAAGGGTGAGGGGGATAGCCCTTTGGAGTGGGCAGGGACATGACCACAGAAAATCTGGGAAGTGGAAACAGACAGGAACTTGCTGGAGTTCTTGGAGCTTTGTGTGGGGCACTGCGGGAAGAAGGCAGGCTCTCCACTCTGACCTGCCCCCACCTCCGGATGAGAGTCTTCTCTGCCTGTTGGATGATGTGCTGCCCCTGCTCTTGGAGGAAGAGGCCTCCCAGCCACCCTCTCCTGCCAGTCTCCTTGCCCTGCTGACCCAGACAGATCTGCTATCCCTGCAGCATCCAGGAAGGCCACAGGGAGGAGGCCCAGGTGGCATGGGTTTCTGAGGCCTGAGATCTGCTCTGAGTCCTGCTCTCACTAACCCCCTTTGCCCCTCTGTGACAGTGTGTGTACGTATGTGTGCATGTGTGTACCTGTGTGGTGTGGCTCACAAGGTCACCCCTGGGGGTGGGATAATAAGAGGTAAAGTGTGACCCTCCTCTTCCATACATTCATCCTTTTTTTTCAAACTTGTGAATATTCACATTGGTTTTTTTTTTTTTTTTTTTTGAGACAGAGTCTGGCTCTGTCGCCCAGGCTGGAGTGCAGTGGTGCAATCTCCGCTCACTGCAAGCTCTGCCTCCCGGGTTCACGTCATTCTCCTGCCTCAGCCTCCCGAGTAGCTGGGACTACAGGCGCCCGCCACCGCGCCCAGCTAATTTTTTTTGTATTTTTAGTAGAGACGGGGTTTCACCATGTTAGCCAGGATGGTCTCGATCTCCTGACCTCGTGATCCACCTGCCTCAGCCTCCCAAAGTGCTGGGATTACAGGCATGAGCCACCACGCCCGGCCACACATTGTTAATAATTTTGTGCGTCCCATGACTTCGAATAGAGCACTTAGATGCCGATGACCCCCCACCAAAGAAACCCCACTGTCTCCCACAGACTCCAGGTCTGTATCTCCAACTGCCTACTCAATACAACATCTCCACCTGATGCAATGAACTTAATGTGTCCAAACCCCAATTCCAGATTTCCAGTCCTCCTACTGGCTCCTTCCCCAGTCTTCTCTACTTTACTATGTGACCACTCCTTTTTTCCCAATACTCGTTTTAAAAACCCTGGAGTAGTCCTTGCCTCCAGTCTCTCTCACCTTTCAACCAATTCATCAGCAAATACTGACAGCTCTAGCTTTACTCATCAAACCATATTCCGAAATCACCCTATTCTGGATTGCACGGTGTCATCTCTCCCTAGAATTACAGCTGTAGCCTCCTAACTAGTTTTCTTGATTCCACTCTTGCCCATCAGCAGTAAAATTACCACAGTGCATTTAAAATGATCTTTTAAAAATGATAGGGCTGGGCGTGATGGCTCATGCCTGTAATTGCAGCACTTTGTGAGGCTGAGGCGGACGTTATTGCTTGAGGTCAGGAGTTTGAGACCAACCAGGTGAAACCCTGTGTCTACTAAAAATACAAAAATTAGCCAGGCATGGTGGTGGGTGCCTGTAATCCCAGCTGCTCCGGAGGCTGACAAAGGAGAATCGCTTGAATTAGGGAGGTGGAGGCTGCAGTGAGCCAAGATTGGGACACTGCACTTCAGCCTGGGCAACAGAGACTTTGTCTCAAATAAATAAAAATTGGCTGGGCATGGTGGCTCACGCCTGTAATCCCAGCACTTTGGAAGGCTGAGGTGGGTGGATCACCTGAGGTCAGGAGTTCAAGACCAGCCTGGCCAACATGGCGAAACCCTGTTTCTACTAAAAACCCAAAAGTTAACCAGGTGTGGTGGCACGTGCCTGTAATCCCAGCTACTCAGGCGGCTGAAGCAGCAGAATTGCTTGAACCTGGGAGGTGCAGGCTGCAGTGAGTGGAGATTGTGCCATTGCACTCTAGCCTGGGCAACAAGAGTGAAACTCCACCTCAGAATAATAATAATAAAATGAAAAAAATTAAAATAAAAAAGGGAGCCTGGGCAACAAAGTGAGACCCAGTCTCTACAAAAAAATAAAATTATTTGGATGTGGTGACATATATCTGTAGTCCCAGCTACTTGGGAGGCTGAGGTGGGAAGACTGAGCCCAGGAGGTCGAGGCCACAGTAAACTGTGGGCACACCCCACTGCACTCCAGCCTGGGCAATAGAGGGAGACCCTGTCTCAAAAAAAGAAAGAGGGGCCAGGCGCGGTGGCTCAAGCCTGTCATCCCAGCACTTTGGGAGGCCGAGACGGGTGGATCATGAGGTCAGGAGATCGAGACCATCCTGGCTAACAGGGTGAAACCCCGTCTCTACTAAAAAATGCAAAAAACTAGCCGGGCGAGGTGGTGGGCGCCTGTAGTCCCAGCTACTCGGGAGGTTGAGGCCGGAGAATGGCGTAAACCCGGGAGGCGGAGCTTGCAGTGAGCTGAGATCCGGCCACCGCACTCCAGCCTGGGCGACAGAGCGAGACTCCATCTCAAAAAAAAAAAAAGAAAGAAAGAAAGAAAGAGGCCGGGTGTGGTGGCTACGCCTGTAATCCCAGCACTTTGGGAGCCCAAGGCTGGTGAATCACTTGAGGGCAGGAGTTCGAGACCATGGCCAACATGGAGGAAACCCCATCTCTATTAAATATACAAAACTTAGCTGGACATGGTAGTTTGTGCCTGCAATTCCAGCTACTCGGGAGGCTGAGGCAGGAGAATCGCTTGAACCTGGGAGACGGGGGTTGCAGTGAGCTGAGATTTCTCCACTGCACTCCAGCATGGGTAAAAAAAGTGAGACTTGGCCGGGCACAGTGGCTCACGCCTGTAATCCCAGTACTTTGGGAGGCTGAGGCGGCCGGATCACGAGGTCAGGAGATGGAGACCATCCTGGTTAACACGGTGAAACCCCGTCTCTACTTAAAATACAAAAAAAATTAGCCAGGTGTGGTGGCGGGCGCCTGTAGTCGCAGCTACTCGGGAGGCTGAGGCAGGAGAATGGCGTGAACCCGGGAGGCGGGGCTTGCAGTGAGCCTAGATCGCGCCACTGCACTCCAGCCTGGGCAACACAGCAAGACTCCGTCTCAAAAAAAAAAAAAGAAAAAAAAAGAAAAAGAAAAAAAGAAAGAAGAAAGAAAAAAAAAGTCTGTTCCTGTGTTTGCTCAGAACACCTTCTATGGCTTCCCATTTCAGTAAAATCCAAGTGTCTTAGCCCGTTTTGTGCTGGCTAAATCGGAAAACCACAGACTGGATAATTTGTAAAGAATCAAAGTTTATTTTGCTCACAGTTTCACAGTTTTAGGGGCTGCAAAGTGCAAGAACCTCATGCAGTATCTAGCAAAGGGCTGTCCCAGGATGGAAGGGCAGAAGGTGGAAGCAAACGAGAGACAGGAAATTGGGCCTGTCCAGTAGCCTCCCACGTGAGGATCCTCGGACTGAGAGGGTACTAGGAGGGCTGACACAGCGCAACCCTGTGATCCCCACCTCCGTCCCTGGAACGTAGGAAATCTGGGTGTTAGTTCTGGCTTTGCGATGCCTCTTGGGTGACCTGGCTGAAGCTAATCTCTCCTCATTAGGCCAGAAGGGAATCTGTGAAGTGGCCTTTGAATCCTGCCTTGACTTTCTCCGCCCAGTCCCGGCGGAGATCATATCGCGACTAACGCTTCACCCACTTCCAGAGCCTTCGAGATAGGCCCCGCCCCATCAGCAGGACGCGTCCCACGCCACTAGAAGTCTCGCGAGAATCCCGCGATGAAGCGAAGTCGAGACGTTTGACCGTCCTCCTTTTCCGTAGTTCCGAGTTGCGGTTTCTGTTAGTGTTTCCGGGTTGCCGCCAGGGAAGCCTCCGCGGTGGTGCAAGTGGAACCAAAGCCTTGAGGTTTCAGTGA